AGTTTGGAATATACTAGAAGCCACAAACGAGGTTACCAAAATTGTTAAAAACTCTAAATTGCAGATTTTGACTACTAAGTTTGAAGATTTTAGAATGAAGGTCAATGAATCGTTCGATAAATTCTATGCGAATCTTAATGATATAGTTAACTCTAGTTTTAACTTATATGAAAGGATCCCCGAGACCAAAATTGTTAGTAAAGTTCTTAGATCCTTGCCCGAGAGGTTTAGACTTAAGGTGACCGTGATAGAAGAAAGTAAGGAAGTAGATGCTGTTAAGATTGAAGAACTCGTGGGATCACTTCAAACTTATGAACTCACTGTTTCACAGTCCAAAAAGGTTAAATCCATTTCCATGCACATCATTAGAAAAGAGGAGAGCGAGTTCACTGATACTGAGATCCTTAGGGACGATGAAATTACTTATTTCATTAAAAAATTACAGAAGGTGATGAGAAATGGGAGAAAACCTCAAGAACAAAAAATTGGATTTCTTAGAAAATTCGTGGAAGATAATCGTGAAGAAAGCGACTCTAGAACTGCTAATAAGAAAACTCAATCTGTTAGATGCCATGAGTGTCATTGCTATGGTCACTATAGGAATGAATGTCCTAACTTGAAAATGGGTTTTAATAATGGCAGACGTAAGGCTTAAGCTGTGACCTTAAGTGATGATGAATCGGATTCCAGTGCTCGGAGTGATAAGTCTGGAGAAGAAGATAATCAAAAGCTTATGGCCTTCAGATCTATAGCTGCCAAAGTGATGATGAATCAGATTATAGTTCTTAGAGTGATACATCTGGTGAAGAAGATAATCAAAGGCTCATGACCTTCACATCTATAGCTACCATAGAATCTGATAAAGAAATTTAGATGTTTTAGGTTAAGAAGATTGATGTATCTAGGTCAAATGATCAGGTGAATTGTTATGTTGGCCACGTTGCACTTAAGGCCCAAAATGTCTCTATGTGATACCTTGATAGTTCTCGTTCTAGACATATGTGTGGAGATAAGGCCCTGTTTTTTTCTCTAGATGAGTGGAATGGTGGTGTAGTTACTTTTGGAGATGGATCTACTGCACCAATCCAAGGAAAATGTATTGTTAAAATTGCTGGATTACCTACCATTTCTGATGTTCTTTATGTGAAATGGTTAAAGTCTAATTTGTTGAGCATCAGTCAAATTTGTGATGCCGATTTTGAAGTTAGCTTTGTCCAGAAAAGGTGCACTGTGTATGACTCAACTGGTAACGTTGTTCTCGAAGATGTAAGAACCTTCAATAATTGTTACGGAGTTTTACCAAATTTCAGCTATGTTTGTAGTAATTCCAAGATCAATATTACTGAGTTGTGGCATCAACGGCTGGGTCTTATGAACCATAACAGTTTGTCTAAGCTGGCCATAAGAAAATAGTCAATGACCTACCTAAGCTAGAAAATACTGATACCACTGTTTGTAGTCCATGTCAACAAGGTAAACAGATTAGAGTGCCTCACAAACGAACTTCTGAGATCTTGACTAGCAAGCGTCTTGAACTTCTCCGTATGGATTTAATAGGACCATTTAGGACTGAAAGTCTTTGTGGTAAAAGATATATTTTGGTTGTGGTTGACGATTTTTCTCAATATACGTGGATTGAATTACTGAGGGATAAAACTAAAGTATTCAGTATTATTACCTCATTGTGCAAGAGACTTAAAAATGAGAAAGGATATCTGTTTCCAGAATTCGTAGTGATCATGGAAAAGAGTTTGAAAACTCTAACCTTGAGTTCTATTGTGTTTGGAGGAAGGAATCGAGCATGAGTTCTCATCACCGATCACTCCACAATATAATGGGGTAGTTGAAAGAAAAAATTGCGTGCTTCAAGAAATGGCTAGAGCCATGCTTCATGGTAAGGATCTTGCCATACATTTCTGGGGGTAAGCCATCAACACAACTTGTCACATTGTTAATATGGTTTATCTGAGACGTAAAACTGATATGATACCATATGAGATCTGGAAAGGTAAACGACCAACTATCAAGTACTTTCGTGTGTTTGGGAGCAAGTGCTACATACTAAGAGACATAGAAAATTTAGGGAAGTTTGATTCTAAAAGTGATGAGGGAGTTTTTCTAGGTTACTCCAGAAATAGTCGTGCCTATCGTGTATACAACTCTCGTACCCGAGTTGTGATGGAGTCTGTCAATGTAGTGGTGGATGATGTATGTAGTGAGGGGGAGACTGGAAGCAATGAGGTAGAGCTGGAACACCTAAGCGTTGATCCTGTCATGGTAGTTGAACTTAACGAGACCATCGTTCACGATTCCCCATGTGCTTCTAATAGTTTAGATAGTTTTACTAAGGAATCCACATCTGATGATAAACATGAACCTCCAAAAGAACCATCGTCTCGCGTTAAAAGGAACCATCCTAAAGTGAACATTACAGGGAATTTAGATGACGAAATGAGACTCCGTAAGACGGTTTTGAATAATCTGACGTATGCTAGTTATGTATCAACTAAGTTTGAAGAGATTAGGATGAACGATGATGAATCGTTCGATGAATTCTATGCGAATCTTAATGATATAGTTAACTCTAGTTTTAACTTATATGAAAGGATTCCCGAGACCAAAATTGTTAGTAAAGTTCTTAGATCCTTGCCCGAGAGGTTTAGACCTAAGGTGACCGTGATAGAAGAAAGTAAGGAAGTAGATGCTGTTAAGATTGAAGCACTCATGGGATCACTTCAAACTTATGAACTCACTGTTTTACAGTCCAAAAAGGTTAAATCCATTTTCATGCACATCATTAGAAAAGAGGAGAGCGAGTTCACTTTCATTAAAAAATTACAGAAGGTGATGAGAAATGGGAGAAAACCTCAAGAACAAAAAATTGGATTTCTTAGAAAATTCATGGAAGATAATCGTGAAGAAAGCGACTCTAGAACTGCTAATAAGAAAACTCAATCTGTTAGATGCCATGAGTGTCATAGCTATGGTCACTATAGGAATGAATGTCCTAACTTGAAAATGGGTTTTAATAATGGCAGACGTAAGGCTTTAGCTGTGACCTTAAGTGATGATGTATCAAATTCTAGTGCTCAGAGTGATACATTTGGTAAAGAAGATAATCAAAGGCTCATGGCCTTCGCGTCTATAGCTACCATAGAATCTGATAAAGAAAAGTGATGATGAATCAGATTATAGTGCTTAGAGTGATACATCTGGTGAAGAAGATAATCAAAGGCTCATGGCCTTCACATCTATAGCTACCATAGAATCTGATAAAGAAATTTAGATGTTTTAGGTTAAGAAGATTGATGTATCTAGGTCAAATGATCAGGTGAACTGTTATGTTGGCCACGTTGCACTTAAGGCCCAAAATGTCTCTATGTGATACCTTGATAGTTCTCGTTCTAGACATATGTGTGGAGATAAGGCCCTGTTTTCTTCTCTAGATGAGTGAAATGGTGGTGTAGTTACTTTTGGAGATGGATCTACTGCACCAATCCAAGGAAAAGGTATTGTTAAAATTGCTGGATTACCTACCATTTCTGATGTTCTTTATGTGAAAGGGTTAAAGTCTAATTTGTTGAGCATCAGTCAAATGTGTGATGCCGATTTTGAAGTTAGCTTTGTCCAGAAAAGGTGCACTGTGTATGACTCAATTGGTAACGTTGTTCTCGAAGATGTAAGAACCTTCGATAATTGTTACGGAGTTTTACCAAATTCCAGCTGTATTTGTAGTAATGCCAAGATCAATATTACTGAGTTGTGGCATCAACGGCTGGGTCTTATGAACCATAATAGTTTGTCTAAGCTGGCCATAAGAAAATAGTCAATGACCTACCTAAGCTAGAAAATACTGATACCACTGTTTGTAGTCCGTGTCAACAAGGTAAACAGATTAGAGTGCCTCACAAACGAACTTCTGAGATCTTGACTAGCAAGCATCTTGAACTTCTCCGTATGGATTTAATATGACCATTTAGGACTGAAAGTCTTTGTGGTAAAAGATATATTTTGGTTGTGGTTGACGATTTTTCTCAATATTTGTGGATTGAATTACTGAGGGATAAAACTAAAGTATTCAGTATTATTACCTCATTGTGCAAGAGACTTAAAAATGAGAAAGGATATCTGTTTCCAGAATTCGTAGTGATCATGGAAAAGAGTTTGAAAACTCTAACCTTGAGTTCTATTGTGTTTGGAGGAAGGAATCGAGCATGAGTTCTCATCACCGATCACTCCACAATATAATGGGGTAGTTGAAAGAAAAAATTGCGTGCTTCAAGAAATGGCTAGAGCCATGCTTCATGGTAAGGATCTTGCCATACATTTCTGGGGGTAAGCCATCAACACAACTTGTCACATTGTTAATATGGTTTATCTGAGACGTAAAACTGATATGATACCATATGAGATCTGGAAAGGTAAACGACCAACTATCAAGTACTTTCGTGTGTTTGGGAGCAAGTGCTACATACTAAGAGACATAGAAAATTTAGGGAAGTTTGATTCTAAAAGTGATGAGGGAATTTTTCTAGGTTACTCCAGAAATAGTCGTGCCTATCGTGTATACAACTCTCGTACCCAAGTTGTGATGGAGTCTGTCAATGTAGTGGTGGATGATGTATGTAGTGAGGGGGAGACTGGAAGCAATGAGGTAGAGCTGGAACACCTAAGCGTTGATCCTGTCATGGTAGTTGAGCTTAACGAGACCACCGTTCACGATTCCCCACGTGCTTCTAATGGTTTAGATAGTTTTACTAAGGAATCTACATCTGATGATAAACATGAACCTCCAAAAGAACCATCGTCTCGCGTTAAAATGAACCATCCTAAAGTGAACATTACAGGGAATTTAGATGACGAAATGAGACTCCGTAAGACGGTTTTGAACAATCTGATGTATGCTAGTTATGTATCTCAGATTAAGCCTAAGAAAGTGGAAGAAGCTCTTTGCGATGAATGTTAGGTTAATGCGATGCATGAAGAACTAAATCATTTTGTAAGAAATAAAGTGTAGGATCTAGTTCCTAGGCCTGATGATTGTAATGTTATAGGTACTAAGTGGATATTTAAGAATAAAATCGATAATCAAGGTACTATAACTAGAAATAAGGCTAGGTTAGTAGCCCAAGGATATCTTAGGTCGAATGAGTTGATTTCGATGAAACTTTTGCCCCTATTGCTAGGCTTGAATCCATTAGAATTCTTTTAGCTGCTGTCAACACTTTAGGTTTTACATTATATCAAATGGATGTCAAGAGTACCTTCTTAAATGGAGTTCTTTAGGAAGAAGCCTATGTTGAACAACCTAAAGGATTTATTGATCCTAAATATCAACATTATGTCTATAGGTTGAATAAAGCCTTATATGGTCTGAAACAAGCTCCCAGAGCCTTGGTATGATCGGCAAACTGCATATCTCATGGAACATGGGTTCTCGAGATGTAGTGTAGACAGATGCTTATTTATAAGACATATTGAAGATACCATCGCAATAGCCCGGATCTACGTCGATGACATTGTCTTTGGTTCTCCTGTTGACTCACTTGCTCATGATTTTGCTGAGTGTATGAAGCAAGAATTTGAGATGAGTATGTTTTGAGAATTGAATTACTTTTTAGGGTTTCAAATCAAACAAACTGATGATGGCTTATT